ATCATCAAACTGCGCAGTCTTGCTTTGCTATTCTCAATTGAGTATCCCAATTTTTCATGAATTAATTAGATATATATTGTATGCTTGTGGTTATTCAACGATTGAGCGAGGACATTTCCCGAATATCAAGGATGTTTGCTTCATATTTCTTTCTCCTTACTGTCAAATTTCTTATTGCACTTGTCTTCTTTTCATCTTGTGCTCTTGGTGTCAATACAGATCTGTTTCGTTGACTTCCTGGAAAATCATTTCCATTATTGTCCATTTCAAAATAGAAGAAGGATGGTTGTTTTTTGAATAACTTTTTAATGGAAATAGCTATAAGACTGCGATTTTCACCATTTGATAGAGGCGGATATTCTGCATCTTTCTATAGATTGATTCTAAATGTCATCTTATGATTCTGATGAGCGGTCAATGAAATTCAAAGTAGTACCTGAAGTGCTATAAAAGTTGTATGGAATTTCAATTGTAAGGAATGCATTAGATGCGCTTGCTCAAGATCTACAATTCTACACAAACCCGAAATTTTTATTTTGCTTTGTTGAAAAAATATACATCTCACACTGATAGTCAAAAATGCTCAGAACACCTTTTTTCGCTAGTTTTTTAAGTTTTTATAATGCTATATCTATGAGTTTTTGATCATTCTGAATCAAACGAAATTGTTTGTATTGTAACAAAGCCATTGTTTAACATGTAAAACAAGTGCTGATTATTTTACATCACAGATTGAATATCCTCGTCACAAACTATAATGATGTAACATACTCCTACAAATTGAATATCTCTTGAGTATGTCTGGCTGAATTAGAGACACGTCTATTTTCCTATTGATATCACATAAAATTTTCTTTTCTGTCGAGTTATTACCGACAGCGTGTCATCTAGAAAAGTTGTCTTTTATGTACGGATAAAAATACGAGCCATATGCTGATATGAGACAATTTTTTTTCTTCTCGCTGGATTAGACGTATGGATTGCTATTTCTGCTTCACAATTCAAAGAAAATAAAAGCAACTCACTGTATTATATAATTCAAAAGTATTTCATCTATCGATAAGATGCCTACAGGTCATGATTTCTCGTGTGATGCGAAGCAAATAATGTTTAATGTGATTAAATTTGTAGAACGTGAAAAGGGTGGTTGCTTAATTCGATCGAATAATGTAAATGATCGTATTAAATCTATTCTTGGTATTTCAATACCGTCAGTTGAAAAACTGAAGAGAGAAATGAGAGAACAAGAAAGAGAGACGTTGGAAAAACAAAACGAATTGATTCAATTACAGAAGAAACTGGATCAAGAAAAACAAGATAAAGAAGATGCGGCGATTCGAACTACTCTTCAGCTTCGAAGTTCACGTACAAGATCATCATCATCATCATCATCTTCGTCAGTAACCGCTGCATCCAATTCCACGTTAACAATATTTATGCCTGTTGCCAAATCATCACGAAAGCGTGGTCATTTCGGTCGGCCTCCTATCATCTTGACAGAAAATCAAAACGAAAATGTTCGGTAAACACACTCATCAGAATAAACCATTTAATATGTGTACACTGTTTATAGTTATCATGTTCATCTGATGTTGGCTGAGCGGATCTACCCAACCGTAGATAAAGTTCTCACTCGAATTTTGAGTGACGAATCTGATTTTCCGATCCGATTGACATGGTCAGTATGGCGGTGGATGAAAAAGTTAGGTTTTGTGTATAGAAGAACATCGAAAGTTGTTGTTCCTCTTAATTCTCTGTTCTATATGCCACCTCGTGCATGTTACTTTTCGAAAATCGATGAACTGGGAAACAATGGTACAGTCGTTTTTTGGCATGATGAAACGTGGTATAATCGGAACGAAGAAAAAACCTTCGTGTGAACTGATAGAGATACTGGTGCTGGTCGTTTATGATAGAGTAGTTGCAAAGGTACGACTTTTCTTTCTTAAAAGTTACCAATAGTTTTTTCTTCACAGGGTCACGCCTTGTTATTTCTGCGTTGATGGGTAATTCCGATTTTCATAGATCATCTATTGATATATTTGAAACAACTGAAGAAAATCGTATGGACTCATCACATTTCTTGGCATGTATCGATCGTACTGCTTCCCTTCTTCGAAAAGAATTCGGTAATAATCACTTTTTTGATCCTTATTGTTACGTTTGAGCTTAGGAAAATATACCAAAATCGTTTTCGTAATCGATAATACTCCTTGGGATAATCGACTCACAAATGATACAATGCCACGAAAAAGATCGTGACGGAAAGAATATATTATACAATGGCTCAATGCTCACAATACAAATGTTCCTGTTAAAGCTGTCAAAGCTGCATTCCTTAAGATTGTTATAAAAAATCTACCCGAAAAACGATATGAAATTGATGAAGCAGCTAAAAAATACAATGTTGACATTTTACAGTAAGTTAACTTTCAAGCTGTCGCCAATCTTATGCATAGTATTTACAGATTGCCTATTAAACATTGTATGCTCAACCCGGTGGAATTGGCCTGGGCAGGTCGGAAGCAGTATGTGCGAGATCACAATATTAATTTCCGTCTTAACGATGTGTGAAACTTAGCACAAGAATGAATGTTGAACTTGAAAACAGCTACAATTACGACTTACCTCAACCACGTTTACAATATCGAGGAAACGTTCAAAAAATCCAATGTTTTTCACAGAACAACTCGAAGAAGATTTAGTACATGATGATGATGATGATGATGAACAGGATTCCGATGTTGCAGAAACGACTGAGTAATATTTAAAAAAATCTATTCTTTGTTGTTGTTTTGTGCGATCAACTATTGATTTGATAATAACTATGTCCTAATCCAATATACTTAAGAGATATTCAACTTGTAGCAATATGCTAAATCATTATAGTTTGTGACGAGAATATTCAACCTGCGATGTAAAATACTCAGCACTGATTTTATATGACAAAGAAGGACTTTGTTACAATATAAACAGTTTTGTTCGATTCAGAATGATCAAAAACTCATAGATATAGCATTATAAAAACTTAAAAAACTAGCGAAAAAAAGGTATTCTGAGCGTTTTTGATTATCAGTGTGAAATGTATAATTTTTCAACAAAACAAAATAAAAATTTCGGGTTTGTGTAGAATTGTAGATCTTGAGCAAGCGCATCTAATGCATTCCTTACAATTGAAATTCCATACAACTTTTATAGCACTTCAGGTGCTACTTTGAATTTCATTGACCACTCATCAGAATCATAAGATAACATTTTGAATCAATCTACAGAAAGATGTAGAATGTCCGCCTCTATCAAATGGTGAAAATCGCAGTCTTATAGCTATTTCCATTAAAAAGTTATTCAACAAACAACCATCCTTCTTCTATTTTGAAATGGACCATAGTTTATGATATTGTTGAGGTCCGTGTGGTGTTCTACTGCTAGATATATTAGCAGGTATTGAAATTAATTCTGGATATACACACGAATGTAAAATATCGACAACTGTTGACAATAAATAATTCACTACTTGCTGACTTAAATTCAATTCTGAAGTGATATAACGTTCAGAATGATAATGTTTTAAGTGCCATAGCGTAACGACAAGCATATTCATAGGAGATAAATACGAAGTAGTGGCACTGTTTGTAAGTCGGTAGTTCTTATGGGAGCAATAATTTATAAGCGGTTGTTCACACATAGAATACAATTCTTGTACTTCCTTGACATCATGCCCAGTATGCTGTACGCAAGATGCCTTGGTACGTCTCCATTCTGACCAAGGACGCTGTTCTACAATATAGAAAAAAAGTACAATAGTTATTAAGTTTTGACTACTCCTGTAGCACAAAATAATCGACTAATAGACGCATGTGTAAACTAACAGAGTAATGTTACTTACTATCATCTAAAGCCTGAAGCTGTTGTTGTTTCTCTTCCATTTCCTGCTGTTTTTCTTCTTCAAGTTCTGGTGTACAATAACTATAATTGTTACGATGACGATAATAATTCGAGTGCCAACCAGATTTTCCTGAGCCAGTACATGTCCACGTTAGCATTGAATGACATTCGGTACAATATTTACGACAATCATTTGGAGCACATCCACATTGAGAACAATCCCATTTAACTTGCGAAGAAGACATAATCCAAGGGTGATAAGCGCTTGTTATCGGGTGAAAGTGTGTTAAAGAAAACAAAGAACGAAGGAAAGCGAAAAGAATCACAATTCGAACATGAATGATCTAACTAGAACACAACGTTCGGATAGAATGGATAAAATATTATCGCACATGGAATATATGCCAAGGACACGATGTCAACAAATATGATGTGAAGCATGTTTAGCACAATGATCATAAGAACGTCCTTAGTAACCCTCATTTTTACTAATATATAGATCTCAAATAGTCACAGATCAGTAGCATTATATAAGAGGTATAAGTGATAAAAAGACCACATTTTTCTGATAGATGGGTGAACCCACATGAATAAATGAATGTTTGGACATCCTGGCAGTTTGTCACGCCCATTTATATACATATTGTTTTTTTTGAATGAGCATGTCAGGATACTGAGCAGGCCAGAACTCTTTTTTTGAATTCTTACTTTTTAAATGAAAAGAGAGGATCACAAGTTCAATGATTTTAAAAAATCCAACATTTTTTTCTATAGAACGTTTTTCTATATTATTATAAAAATTTTGTTTTAGGAAAGGACTATGCAATACTGTGCATCCTGGCGTGTTCTTTTAACCAAAAGTAGAACATACAACATGAACCTGGACAGAAAAATTTGATATGATCAATCAAAAAATTCTAAGCTGAGAAAAAGTCAAAATATGTCGATTTAGCTGGAGAAAAATATAATTTTTAAGCACAAAATAACGAAATTTCTGGGAAAAACAAGGGAGCAAATCATAACTCATATTATTCCTCATAGATCTCAAGTGAGACTATCTTTTCATGTATTTATCTCAATTTCAGAATTGTTGACGAAAACCGACTTTTTTCAATGGCACGAGGGGGCTTAACCGTTTTTATTATTTACTAAATGCATTTCAAATTAATTAAGAACAGTGCGTTTTCATTGTACTTCATGTACTCTGTTGCACTCCGTGTACTCTACTGTACTTCGTGTGCTCTACTGTACTCCATGTACTCTGAGAGTACGAAAGTATGTCGTTTCCCCCTTGGTTTACACGCATACAAAAAAGAGAAAAAAAATGGTCGTTTTTTCATATTCGGGATGTACGATTATGATTACAGTCACTTTTCTTGAGCTGGAAAAATACTACAGCCTTTTTCTCTTTTTTGTATGCATGTAAACGCACAAAAAAGGCAAAGAATGTGCGTTTTTGGCTCATAATCGGTAACTTCAAATGTGAGCCAAAAACGTCCACTTTTTGCTGATTTTAGGCCAATTTCTGTGCATTTAAGCGCGTTTCCTCAAAAGTTTGTCTGCTTGGGTTGGCGAGGTTCTCTCATCAGAGTTATTCCGCTAAATCGCTTCATCTCCCATAAAAACGCAATAACCGCATACTAACGACGAGCACAGATGTATATTACAACGTAAAAAGGATATTATCTGACAGGTGAGCCGAAACAAATAGTCATCAATGGCTTGCACAAGATTATTCCATGACCGATAGTAGCGAGGTCAGAACATGGTACCTTATGGGTATATGTCTAACAGCGTAATTACTTCACTAAAGCGGCTTCCTCAAGAATGTGGAAGTATATGAAAAAATTGTAAATGCGATACTCGATTATTTCCCTTTTAAAATCTGTTATGCATATTTATATACTATATGGAAGTGGTTTTTTATTAAAAGTTGTAGTATCGTTTACAAAGCCTTCAAAGGCTCTGCACTCGCGTTCTTTTTTCTTGAGCAAATTATTGACCACTTCGGAACTGCAGTTTATTTAGTGTTCAGGTGCCAAGCATGTTCCATTAAACCACCACGAATGAATGTCTTCGATTACATTTGCTTCGTTATCTAAATGTAATCTCAAACAAAGGTCACAAAAAGGTGTCATCAGATGATTGAGTCCCCAAAGATAATCTTTCTTCCATAAGAAGTATTCTGAATACTTTGTTTCGTTTGACTTGGTGTGTTTCAAATAGTCCGCTAATTCCAAAGAGCTTTTGAAATCCTTAACATGTATGTAAGCAGTCGGCGGAATCAAGCGACTATAATCCGTCCATCCATTCACAACAGGTACAATCGGGTATTGAAGTGTGGCGAACAATTTTTCTGCTGCAGAAAAGAATTCATATGTAGGTTAATCTAGATAAATGGTTAACAATCGTTCTCCTCTTTCCAATAAATACCAATTCATGAAGGGTGTGGAAGCAAGTGTTTGCATTAGGAAGCTGCTAGTTCACGTCTTCGTGATTCTGACTCTGTTCGATTCAAACTTCATCTGTTTTTCTATCAATATCAGCAGTGTTACATATCCAGGAAATCGGAGAAGCTGGAGAAGTGCAGGGAGATGCGGAAGATGCATCTCTCGCACTTCTCCACAGGGAGATGCGGTATCTCCCGATGACATCTTTTTTCTCTGTTCTTAGGCGTAAAGTTATGTGGAAGATGCTGGGAGATGCCGCACCTCCCTGTGGAGAAGTGCGGACGATGCGGCACTTCCCTGTGGAGAGGTGCGGGAGATGCGGCGTCTCTCCAGGAGATACCGCATCTCTCGCCGGAGCTCCAGGCTAAAAGCCAAAAAATCTTTTGTCTAAAGGATGCTTGGAGATGCATCTTCCGCACTTCCCCACAGGGAGATGCGGCATCTCCCGATGAAATCTTTTTTTCCTATTCTTAGGCTTTAAGTCATGCGGGGGATGCTGGAAGATGCCGTGTTTCCCTATGGAAAAGTTTAGGAGTTGCATCTCCAAGTATCCTCTAAAAAAAAGATTTTTTTAGTTTTTCGTCTGCGATCCTTGTGGGAGATGCGGCATCTCCTGGAGAGGCGCCGCATCTTCCGCACTTCTCCACAGGTAGATGCGGCATCTTCCGCAGTGGCATCGCTTACAGGTGTGGGTGTAGGAGAAGGCGTAATGGCCGCGTCTATGTAGTTAGTCTGGTATCTCCCGCATCTTCCTGCACTTATCCAGCTTCTCCAATATCCTGAATGTGTGACACGTCTTCCAGCTTCTCCACAGGGTTCTCCAGCTTCCCTAATTTGCTGGATATGTGACAGGGTTCATCAATATCTGTGGGCGTGGATGTGAGCGCGTGTGTATATGTCGGTGAGTGTAGGTGTCGTTGTGAGTCTCGGCGGATCTCGATATGAATGCGGCTCAGTGTTGGCGTACGGATGTAAGTGCGGAATGGATTTGGGTTGCTGTTGCTGCCACTGTAGGTGTGGCTATGGATCTGGATGTTTCTTGCTGAGCCAATCCACACTCATATCAGACCCTGCCTAGATCAACTTGGATCAAGGTAGGTTTTCGGTCTGAAAATTCTCGTTTTATCGGATTCGATTGTGGGTCCACTTGCAAGTCTGCTCTGGAAGTTGCAACTCCAAAAGTAACAGTCAACTATATACATTTTCTTGTACGTTCATCGTCAAGATGGTTTGAGAAATGTGTAGCAACACTCGTTACTGAGTCAAAATAAGCGAAAAAAGCATCTCCTATTTTTGAGCTACTATATAGATCGATTAAAAAGTGTTATTAAGAATATTATAAATACGAATCGAATTCGGGTCTCAGTCTGGTCCGAAAAAGTTTAATCAACAGGTTTCGAACGGTGCTTCACTCTGAGCAAAGTTATAGAATCGAGCTCAAACGGAAGATGATTTGAAAGCACCTCAATAAACCACTTCGGGTGTGGTTCAAAGATTCTGGATCGGACGAGCTCTAACCCACGCTCACACTTCAACCCGCATTAGAATCTGAATCCAATAAACAAGGAATTTTCAGACCCAAACTCTACGTGTACCAAACCGGATATCCGGGTGAGGTTCGATATGGGTATGGTGGTGAACGTGGCTCCGGAGAAAACATCCACATCTACACTCGCAATCCACACCCACACTCCACGTCAGTGTTCGTACGGTAGTGTCGTGTCGACAGTGTCACGAATCAAAACCATCGTACGCGAAAAAGTGGGCGCGAAAATGTCGTATTACAATACCAAGATAGCCAAAGACTTGTTCAATGTTTTTTGAAAAATCGCTACATTTATGGATTTTTGCCAATGCTTTTGATCTCAAAAGCGTCATTTATGATTCTGAAAGTCAACATTCATAGTTTTACGTCTATATTCATGCTCCTCACCAAAATAAAACCTTCTTTATATCAAGATATATAATGTAAACCATAAATGCGTGTAGATAGTAAAGGCGACTACAACCACGCACACCCACGCTCACACTCACAATCTTCACAGTACTACGATCTTTTTTGTGAAACAAGATGTGTAATGAGTGTTGAAGCATTTAGCGAGAAACATGTGCTCTCCCCAGATCGTAGGACGCATACTGAAAGAGTAGACAAGCATCAAATCCAATTTCAGTCAAATCCAATTCTTAGATTTGATAGGATTTGCCTGAAGTTAGATTTGGATTTGGCAGGATTTGACTGGAGTTAGATTTAGATTTGACAGGATTTTATTTGACTGAGTTTCACTTGATTTGGATTTCTATACCTCTCATAAAGATTGTAAGTTTTCGATATCAAAACTGTCAAATCTGATCAGATCTTTGTGTCATTTATCTCCAGTCTTCTTCGCTCTATTCGACACTGGTGTTAGGTTTCGTCTAATCTTTAAAAAATTCTCAAGATTTGATAGAATTTCGCGAAACACGTGGACAAAAATCAAAATTTTTCGCCAAATCCTGTCAAATCTTGAAACTTTTTTAAAAATTAGACGAAAGCAAATATCACTATCGAATGGAGTGAAGAAAACTGGATATAAATGACGCAAAGATTTGATCGGATTTGACGAGTTTTGATACCAAAAACTTACAATCTTGTGGGAGGTCTAGAAATCCAAATTCAGTCAAAACAAATCCTGTTAAATTCAAACCCTGTTCTAGTCAAATCTTGTCAAACCCAAATTCAACTCCAGTCAACTCCAGTCAAATTCCAATCTAGAATTGGAATTGGATTTGACTGAGATTGAATTTAGTGCATCACT